GGGGGGGAGCCTGAGAATGGCCGTGTGAGCTTCTAGGGGGCGCAGACACAGTTGTTCGCTCCTGACTTTGCGGGGTGTGTGCAATGGCACCCACGAAAGGGAGGGGAGAGCAGCGGTTTGTCCATGTCAGTAAGGACAAACAAAGGGAGGCAAGGGAGGCGGAACTCAAGTTCTACGGTTTCAAGTGGATCACAAAGGGGCAAACACTCCCACAATCCAACGGGAATTTTCTCATGGCGTGCAAATTGTGTGGCCAGGGGTTTCAGGGAAGTCAGACGAAGGCCACACAACACTTCACAATAAAGAACAACTGTGCTAAAGTCTCCGCGGAGCAGCTGGCAGAGATTTGGAACAAGACGAAGTACTCGTTCGATCAGAGCCACTATCAGAAGATCCTCGACTTCCTGAGGTCTTGTGGGTTTCGAGACAATAGAAATACTTCGGGGAGGGAGCAGGCGGGGGAGGAGGAGTACGACGATAGCGAGGACGAGAGGAGGACGGCCGAGGGGGGAGGTGATGATGGTGACAGCGATACACAGGACATGGACGTGCAACGAGAGGTGGAGCTCGCCAGGGGTAAGATGAGGGGGGACAAGGCCGTTGACGAGGACACTACCCCGGACGAGGACGACGACGAGGATCAGGGCACATACATTGGGGCCTCTTTTGATGGGGGGCTGATGGCCGCTGGCCGTCGAGGCCAAGAGGGGGCTGCCAAAGCGATGAAGGAGGCCACGAAATCGAAGAAGAGAAAGAGGAAGGCAAAGAAGACCATCACAGAGGCGACACCAGCACCTCCTCTGACGAAGAAGGGCAGAGTACTTCGACAGACATCCATATTGGAGACCTTCGATCCGGTGTGGCAACGAGAGTTTTCGAACGAGTTCCTGCAGTGGTGGTACGTGAGCGGCATTCCATTTTGAGGCAGCGAGGAGGCCAGAGTACCAACGAGTGAGGAGGCGGCTGCTCGAGTGTCCGCCGTACACACATCCTGTGTTGCCCACACACCGTGTGATTTCCGGCGACGGCATCCCAGAGCAGCAGCGACTTGTGGCGGAGATGGTGGCGTCCATCCGCGAGGACATTGCGGCGACAGGAGCAATCATCCTCACGGATGGTCGCAAGTCCATCACAAGTGACCAGATAGTCAACTTCCTTGCTGCTGGGCCCACGGGAGCCTACCTTTTCAGGACTGTGCAGCGTGACGGTGCTGTTCAGAAAACAGCCGAGGCCGTGGTGGAGCGATGGAAGGACGTGTTCAACAAGTTCGGTGTCAAAAACGTCAACGCCATTTGCATTGATTCCTCGTCCGTGTATGTGGCTGCATCTAAACTCCTCGCGAAGGAGGAAGTGAAGTATAGTCGCATTACTTGGCTTCCGTGTGCGGTCCATGTCTGCAACTTGTTGTTGTCAGACATCGTGAAGGACGGCACCAACGGGAAGCTTGGGAAGAGGGAGGACACCATCATTAGGGCTCGAGCTGTCGTGTGTTTCATCAGAGAGCACGGGGCGACTCTCAGCCTTTATCGACGGTTCTCTGTCGCCCACCCCTCTTCCGCCTCCGCAGTTGCGGCCAGTTCCAGCACTGCGCCACACTCGTCTCAGTGGCGAGGCAGAGAGCTTGTGTACCCCACATAGACGAGGTTTGCAAATGCACTACTTGATGCTGGAGAGGTTGTTGGATCGTCGCCGAGCGTTGGAGGCGTTGATGATGCGCGACGACTGGTTGCGGACTGCATGGAGGAGGTCCGTTTTCTTGCAGGCCAGATGGGTGCGTCATCAGGTGCGGTACTCGCCATTTTGGGAGCACGTGGATGGCATCGTGGAGCTGATGACGCCTATGATGCAGCTGCTACGCCGTTTGGACAGAGGGGGGCGTGTGATGACTCGCATGTGGTCGTGGGCGCTTGCCATGGTTGACAGGGTGGCGAGGGCGAGACTGAACAGGACGTCGATGGAGGAGCTCAACATCATTGTTCTTGTCAGGCGCGGGTCGGTCATATGTTGGAGCCCGCACATTGCATGGCTCACCTCCTCAACCCTCGCCATAGGAGCATTACGTATTTTGGAGCGGCGAGGCGCAGCGAGCACGATAAGACACTCGCAGAGGAGTCGCTGCGATACCTTCGCCAGCAGACTGGCGTTGATGAGGATTTGTATCAGACGTTGTGTACACAGTTAGCGGAGTTTCTTAGTCGGGAGGGCGATTGGACGTACAGAGGGGTTGAGGGTGACAGGGACGCGGCCTCCTGCAGAGAGGAGAAGGAGACGTCGCAGGTCGGGCAGTGGTGGGTGCAGCACGGGGACGGGGTCCCTCTCCTTCAGAGTTACGCCATTCGCCTGACGCACACATGGACGTGCGCCTCTCCAGCGGAGAGGAACTGGGCCGTACATGAGCTTGTTCAGGTGAAGAAGCGTAACCAGCTTGGTTTTATCAATCTTGCTCGTTTGGTGGAGATATCTACCAACTTGAGATTGAGTCGCTGTCAGAGGAGGGGTTCACGGTACATTCTGCCATGGGAGGATGCTGAGGATGAGTCAGAGGACACTATTCCTCACCTCGTGACGAGGGTGTTCGGCCAGCTGACCGAGTCACGGAGGTGCAGCGCGAGCGGCAGGTGCGGTGCGGGCGGAAGGATCGTCTTTCAAAGGCTCCGCCCAGCGTTGAGACGTATTTCGGTTGTCGCGCCACGGTGCTCATGCCTACTGAGTTGGACGCCGTGTACAATCCCAAGCCTGATCCTATGGCTCAGGACCCGATTGAGGCGGAGCCGTGGTCTGATCCAGACGACCTAGCAGTGGAGTCAGAGCCCGGAGATTCTGATGATGGTCGCGACGATGGTCCTCTCACCGAGACGTTGCGTCCTCGGATGCAATCTTTCACTACAACCGCTGCACCACGTGCAACTCCCCCTCCACCTCCGCCTTCGAGTGCTCCTGCTTCCACTGCAGCCGCTGTGCAGCATCCCCCTCAACCTACAGATCGTCTTGGACGTGGCGAGCAACGGACTCGGGAGATTGTTGACGAGGGAGACGACGACGACGACGACGATGACAGGGAAGGGTACGACGACAGCAGTGAGGACGAGGATGATCCCGGCTATTCCCTGACACGCGGACGTGGTGACGACGATGACGGCGGCGGCGATGGTACATAGGCTGCAGGTGGTTTGCGGACGTCGGTTCGACAGCGTGCCGACCGATGCAGTGGTGCAGGTAGGGGAGGCAGTGGTGCAGGCAGGGGTGTGGGTGGTGCACGACACACAGGGGGTGCAGGCCGTGGTGGCGGAGGACGGGCGAGGCGAGAGTCTGCATCGTTCACTCGCACTGTGCACTGGGAAGAGTTTGGTGCTGCGTCGCCAGAGGCCGCTGCAGAGGCCGCTCCCTCCGTTGCAGAGTTTGCAGCCGCGTCTGAGGAGGTCGCATGCGGGTTTGCCGAGGTTGCTGGTGAGGCTGCACATGTTTGAAGGGCTTCTTCGCAGTTGGGTGCCAGTTTCAGTGGTATTTTGGATGTTTTGTGAGGGCTTCCTCCGACACCGACAGGTGAGCGTGGGAGTGGTGATGCGGCCGCAGCGGCTACGCCCGTCAGTCAGATACTCCAGGACATACCTTCATGCAGCATGGGTGACATCAGTAGCAGCATGTTGCAGGAGGCAGCAGAGGGGACGCACGGTTCGTCGGGGCAGCAGGAGCGTGCAGTAGGGAATGATGGGGATTGTCGACCTGTGCAGGAGTGAGCGCCAGAGTCGGAGCAGGATAGGATCGACCACGAGGAGAGGGAGAGGGCGCAAAACTTGGCTAGCCGTTGCGAGATGACGCAGAGTATTGCGTCGAGGGCACGGGCAGAGCGGATGCTCGAGATGGGTGGTGGTGAGGGTCATCGTGCGACGGACGATGCAATGCTTGAGTGTGGCAGTGCGGGCGGTGGGGATGCAGGCGAGAGACCCACGTCGCCGGTTCAAGGTGTTTGTATATTGCCTATCGGTGGAGCCATGACGGCGGGGGAGTTGGAGCGGCAGGCACAGGAGGACCCATTGCAGGCAAATCGACGTGGACGGATGGATGAGGCGTCGAGGAGGTTAATGGCAGAGGGCCCAACTTACTTGCCATGCATCCCGTCACTGGCATCGTCCACCACAGATGCCACTACCCCCGTACATGTTGAGGGTCCAGTCACAGGACGGATTCCCGCACCGGCACCTGCAGAGTCTTCGTCTCCCAAATCACGGAAGAAGAAGATGAGAGCAGGTAAGACTCTTAGTACTGTGAGGAGGGTGACGGCCTCCACCCGGGCGACGGAGTAGCCCATGACAGCACCTGCTGAGGCGGGGATGCGACGTACTGGGGGGCATACAGCAGGTAGGGGGGAGCAGGTGGAGCACAGAGCCCCCCCCGGAAGGACCATGGCCGGACGTATATTGCGGGAGGATGTGAGGGCGGTGTCTGCGCAGTGACCGTCACAGACAACAGTCGTTTGGGAGTCGGGTACTGACGATTTGGAGATGCCTCTTGGCCAGCGGAAGAGGGTTTCCGTGTACGACGTTCTTCGATCACAGCGTGGGGTTGAGACGATGCCACAAGGGGGGGTTCATGCTCCCGATGCTGCGCACGGGCCGGTAGGCGGCACAGGTGGCGGCGATGGTGTCACAGGTGTGGCGCCGCAGAGGAGGAGGAAGGACATTGTGGACGACGATGATGTTTAGTCCCACCAGCGGTCCTCTTTCGTCTTGTGTTTCTTAGTAGTGTATAGTATATTTAGTGCTTCGGATGACATTGAGGTGATGTGTTCATAGGTGTAGTCTGTGCAGCTCGTCCTGACTGCATTTGTATTTGTACAGATGATTAGACTATTGCACATTTTTTCCATACATAGGTGCAGTAGGTGCAGATTGTTGTTTCTTGTTCGTTTTATTTTCGCATTGATGTTTCAGAGGATTGCACTCTTTATTTAGATATGGGTGCAGCATCTGCAGCGCTTGCATTTTTTTTGTGTTCCTTCTACTTTTCTATCGATGTTTTAGACGATTGCACACTTTCTTCGCACATTGTTTGATTGAGTTCTGTCTCCATGTTTCATTTATTGTCGTGTATGCATGGTGCAACTGTTTCACCTTGTTGTTTTGTTGCCCTGTAATGTTCTGGTTTCTAAATTTCTCCAACGATTGTCACTCGCAGATAATGGTCAATGACTCAATGCTTCTGAAAACTGTTTGTAATTGTTGTTGTTTGAAATCACGAACTTCATGTATGCCTAGACTTGTTTCGTTCAGTGTTTCGTTCGCCTCTGATGCATTTGTCAACAACCCCCATACAACCCTCCGCAAGGGCAAACCAAAGACTTCCTGAAGGACCCCCAAAAACGGCCCACGGGTCCCCGTACCTACGGTCGTACGGGAGTACGTACGGCCCGTATACGTACGGGCGTATACACAACAACCAGGTGGACCGGGATGAGAAGCTTACACTCATCGCCAGTCTTTATAACAATGCGGTACACAGTGCCACCGGGGTGAGCCCAAACAGTTTGCTACTGACTTTCAAGCCTAGACTACCCTTGGATTTCCTCCTTCCTGAGAATCAGTCGACTGCTGCACCAGGTACGTTAGAATTTGCTTACCGCTACGAACAGAAAATGCAGCAGGCTGTAGACCAGATGCAAAAGGCACAGGCGGCTATGATAGCATCTGCGAACAAACACCGCCGCGAGTCTTCATTTCAGGTTGGGGACAGAGTCTGGGTTAAGTCCTCAGAACTGGGACAGGAGCACGGGATCTCCCGCAAGCTCATGCCACAATACTTTGGACCTTGGGAAGTTTTAGACATCGTTGGGAACTTGGGACAGACCCGGATGGGCCATCTTATGTTATCCGAATCGGATTCCCTGGTCATCTTCGAACTTACCCTGTCCTTCACGCCTCCAAGCTTGCACCTTTCAAGGAAACAGATGAGTTTCCTTCTCGTCGCTCAATGCTGCCCCCAACCATGGATCGAGAAGTGGACATCGATGACATCGGGGATCACAGGGAGCTGCCAGCTGAGAGACCTGCAGGAAGGGGACTTCCTCCGAAACCAAAGCTGCAGTACCGCGTTCAGTTCAGACATCATACTGATCCCAAGGAGGACCGTTGGTTCACGAGGGAAGAACTCATGCAGACCGCTCCTCAAGTTGTAGCCCACTATGAGAAATCTCTGCAGAAGGGAAAGCGGCCCATGATTGAAGACTGAGCTTCTCAGAGGACTGTTGAAGCTGAGGAGGAGGGAATGCGAGGCCACTGCCTCTATGAGCCCCATAAGGCCCCATTTTGCAGCCCATCGGCCGCCCTAAGTGAAGGCGGGCTTGACAAGGCCCTCAGGGACCTATTCTGGCCACTACGCAACTCAGGGAAATTCAGGCAATTGCGCAGCGCCAGTTGGTTGAGTGAACCCAGGCCCTGGGCCGCCTGTGTGAATGTATGTGAGGCAGGCCCTGGGCTGGATACGGGTACTGGGCCAAACATGGGCCAAAGGCAGTTGGGCACATGCAACCACCTCAGGCTTAAGGCCTGTTCTCGTTGTGCTGGGCCTCAGGTTACCGGGGCCTACTGGAAGCTTCCTGGGACTGGACGCAGGCAGGCCACTTCGATATAGCAAAGGGCCTGCCTCCGCATTTGACATTCGGGTGCTGGCTGCATGCTGCGCAGGCGCTGTTGCGCTATTTGCTGGCTGGTGCCTACGCTCTCACGGGCGAGCAGGGAAGGAGCACACAGCCATAGCCGACCTGCGCTGCTGTAAGCTGGGTGAGGCGCAGGGTGGTCCTTGGGTGCAAGTGGCATCTGTGAGTTGGGGAACGAGGTTGCGAGTGTGGCGAGAGACATTCCTGGTGCTGGAAGCGTGCGACATAGGTCGCTGTATGCTCGTACTTCGGGAAAGCTGTTGCCGTCATCTTTTGGCATTGTAGTGTAGGCTAGATAGGATCTGCCACATGTAGTCTGGGCGCCGAGCGCCAGATAGGATATCAACTCTGGTTCTTCGTTGATGATGATGATGGGACTATTTAAACATTGTCAATTATGAACTCTTGGTGTGTTCTTATTTGGTGAATCTCGTGATGCAGTTCTGCTGTTGGTTCGAAATCACGACTATCTGGACTCATATGTATGATGCTGTTTGATTGCTGAAGTTCGCTATTGCTCATCTTCCTTGCAAAAGCATCAAAATCAAAAAGAAAAAAAATGGGGATGTAGGGAATTTCAAACCCTACAACCCCATATATATATTTTCGTTTTGGCCTATTATTTTTTTTTTTTTAAATCCCCGGGTTTCATGCCCGCAGTCGGCCGCGGGGGTCGACCACCGCGGGCGGGGTCCCAACCGCATGCGGCAAAAAAGCCCGCGGTCACGACCGCGGGTGATACATAGCTGAGGCATGCTTTTCCTTTTTTTTCCCTCGATTTTATAAGTGTCATCCTTGCGCAAGGGCCATGACCCTGCTAATCTTCTCGGTATTGCTCCAATTTTGACGGATGTCCCCAAGGGCAGTCATGCTTTTTTTGTGAAGTGGTGTACAGCCAATATGACAAAACTCTCTCTCTCTCTCTCTCTCTCTCTCTCTCTCTCTCTCTCTCTCTCTCTCTCTCTCTCT